GGTCCGGGCTGGGGATTCGAACCCGCCACCTTAGGTGTACGTGGCTGGCGCCTTAGCCGGTTGAGCTATAGGCGCCGAGCCGAAATTTGTTCATTTTTATGTGTAGGTTCAATGAAGTATGTACAGCTGTATAGAAATATGATTGAACAAATAAGCTACGATCATTTTTCTCTTTTTTTCCTTCTTCTCTGCGTTGCTTTGGAAAAAAGGGTATGATCTAATGCTAACAGACAGAGAAGGGAAACCTAGCACGGCCTGTCCTCCGGATTCTTTGTGGCCTCCTCGAGCATATGTTATTTCCTTCTGGGTGTGGGGCAGGACTCTCTCTGGAGTAGGGGTCATGTGCGCTACAGTCAAACAAAGTAGATCAGGTAATTTCTTTAAGGCCAGTTATTACACAGAAAGGTGGGGAGAAAGTTAGAGTAATATTTTTGGGTTTTATGGTTGGCTTTGGAGAAAAAGGGTTCTGGTTTCTATGATTGGCCTTGGGGAAGAGGGAGTCAATGGCTAGCCTCAGGGGAGAACAGGACTAAGAGACAGGAGGGCAAAGAAAATGGTTTTGCTTCTGAGGCCTGATAAGCATGATTAATTAAATCACTGGCCATTGGTGATAAATTTAGCTTCCAATCTTTCTCTTCTCCCTGGAGGTTAGGGAGTGGAATGAAAGTCCCAACCTTGTAATCCTCCCTTGATCTTTCTGGTGACCATCCTGAAGCTACCTAGGGACAGCCAGCCACTAGTTAAGCGTAATCACAACAAGTTGGGAGCCCAAGGTAGGAGAATGGCTTGAGGCCAGCATCTCAAGACCAACATCAAAAGACAGCATCAAAAGACATTTACCACTTTGAAGCTTGCATGAATGCAGTATCACAGGTTGTATTTGCTGGGTTTCCCTGCTATGAAGTGGTGAAGTGGACCATTTCCTCTTTTATAATGCATAAGTATCTGTGGGGAGATATTCATACATTGAGACCATGTAAATGTCTCATTCTCAGCACACTTTTGCCCAATACTTTTAGCATCCACCAATGATTTTTCTCTGGTTATTGCAAAACCTTTTTTTTTTTTTAGAGATAGAGTCTCACTTTGTCACCTTTGGTGGACATGGCATAACAACTCACAGCAACCTCCAGCTATTGGGCTTAGGCAATTCTCTTACCTCAGCCTCCCAAGTAGCTTTGACTACAGGTGCCTGCCATAACAGCCAGCTGTTTTTTGGTTGCAGTTGTCTTTGCTATTTAGCAGGCCCAGGCTGGGCTCAAACCCGTCAGCCTTGGTGTATGTGGCCGGCACCCTACTCTCTGAGATATGGGCACAAGCCATGATGGAGAACTTTTGAGGCAGTAGTTTAAAACACGTGGCATAACTCATTTTAGTATTGGAGATGCACTCATTGTGCAACGTTGGCTAACAAAGAATTAGAACTTTTAAGACATTAATGAAGTTAAAATTTACAAAAGGGTAGCATCCAAAGAGTTAATCCTACTTTACAGTTTTTTAAAAAATAATTTAATGATGCACAAAATTACAGCTTAGCCTATGATATATATGGTACTTGGGAGTGGCAAATTGCTTTTTAAAAGACTTTAAAGTTTCAGCTTTTTGTTAGACTGGATGGGATTATTCCCCATGGTCCCAAACAGGGACCATTATGTATTTTTTTCTTGGTTGTTTTTTGCTTCTCTGTCATGCCAGCAATGACTCAGGGGCTGTCTCATTCCTAACAGAAACAGCTCTGCCCCCTGGCCACAGCAATGCGGGGCCTTTGCCTTTAAGGGAAGGGCGGGCAGCTGAGCCTTGGCTAGTTGCTCTGTGCTGCACAAATCAGACTTGTTCTTGGCCCGCTGTTTAGAGATGCCCATTGCTCAATGATGTCTTCATAAGAGGATAATAAAACCAATTGTGCAAGATCCTAGGTTATATTAAATGTCTAGACTAATGCTGTGTCATCTGGTTTCTGCGGGGATCTTAGGATTATTTAATAACCATTTATCTTTGTTCATATTGCTTCTCTTGCTTGTCCTATCAAGAAGTAGTTGAGGGTGAAGGCTGTCACCTTCAGAGTTCGTTTGTCATTGAATAATTATTCCTGATTCCCCAATTCTCTAACATTCGAAAAGTAACTTAGTATAGAAAACATTGTTATGGGTAAATTAGAGACTGTTTGGGGAGGCATTTCCAAAAAGGAGGGGAGGACTTCTACACTGTGTCTGCTACATAGATAACGTCTCTAGTGTATTTATATTGTAATTTATTTCACTAAACATACTAGGTCTCCCTAATAGGGTGGTGGGACCCGCCCTTCTGAGCAGCTTACTGGGCTCTCCTGCTTGGCAGGCGGCCACTCAGCATGTGGTTTTCCATAAAGACTTAGAAAACAGTCAGTTCTTTCATTTCTTCTTTGAGGGCTCATCCCAAGGCACAGGCTCTGTTTTCTGCGTAGTTGTGTGTTTACCTGTCTGGCCATGGGGCCAGTGGCCAGTGTCCTAGGGGACTTTTCTGTTCCCAGTGTACTATCTCCTGTTCTCTCTTGGAGGAGCCTCTTCCCACATAGGAAGAGGTCAGCCAGAGGAAAAGATGACTCGATTAGAATCCTTGTCATCACCTCAAAGGTGAATCTTTCTTGAGCCTCTTGCTCCCATCAGAGTTTCAGAGTGACCAATGCCTTCCCCCACAAGTGGGCTCCAGGACACCCCTAATCCTGCAATTCTCCACTTGGGCTTCTTATGGAATGTTCCCTCAGGGGGATACACACCTACACATACAGATGGACACATACAGGCTGGTTCCTTGCTTTATCTCCTGATACTAAATCTTGGGGATCTTGTCATATGAGTACACGTAGTACCCCATTGATCTGCCTACTGTGTTCCATTACACTGTTATTACATGAATTATTTAGCTACTTTTCTCTTGCTCTCTCTCTCTTTTTTGAGACAAAGTCTCACTCTGTTCACTGGGCTAGAGTACAGTGGTAGTGTCATAGCTCACAGTAGCCTCAAACTCCTCAGCTCAAGAGATGCTCCTGCCTCAGCCTCCTGAGTAGCTGGGACTATACAGGTGCCCTCACCCCCACACCAGACTAATTTTTCTATTTGTAGTAGAGATGGGGTCTCATTCTTGTTCAGGCTGGTATCAAACTCCTGTGTTCAAGGGATCCTTCCACCTCAGCCTCCCAACCTTCTGGGATTACAGGCATGAGCCAATGCACCCAGCCTTTCCTTTTTTAAATTTTTTCTTTTTCGAGACAGAATCTCACTCTGTCACCCTGGGTGGAATGCTATGGTGTCATCATAGCTCACAGCAACTTCAAACTCCTGGGCTTAAGTGTCCTCTTTCCTCAACCTCCTGAGTAGCTGGGACTATAAACATAAGCCACCACACTCAGCTAATTTTCTCTGTCTTTATTTATTTTTTTGAGACACAGTCTCAGGTTGTCACCCTTGGTAGAGTGCCATGGCGTCATAGTGCACAGTAATCTCAAACTCTTGGGCTTAAGTGATTCTCTTGCCTCGGCCTCCCAAGTGGGTAGGACTACAGGCGCCCACCACAATGCCCGGCTACTTTTTTTAGAGACAAGGTCTCATTCTGGCTCAGGCTGGTCTTAAACCTGTGAACTCAGGCGATCCATCTTGCCTCAACCTCCCAAGTGCTGGGATTACAGGCATGGGCCACCAGCCTGGCCTAATTTTCTCTATCTGTAGTAGAATTGGTGTCTTCCTCTTGCTCAGGCTGGTCTCCAACTCCTGAGCTCAAACAATCTTCTCACCTTGGCCTCCCAGAGTGCTAGGATTACAGATGTGTGCTCAACCCCAGCCTCTCCAGTTTTATTATTGATGACACCCATAAGTCCAGTCTAACCATGAGTAAAATATCAGACAGACCCAAATTAAAGGTCATTCTACAATATTTCTGACAAATACACCTCAAAACTGTTAAGATCAGGCAGCGCCTGTGGCTCAGTGGGTAGAGCGCCGGCCCTATATACCAAGGGCGGCAGGTTTGAACCTGGCCCCGGCCAAACTGCAACAACAACAAAAAAATAGCTGGGTCTTGTGGTGGGCACCTGTAGGCCCAGCTACTCCAGAGGCTAAGGCAAGAGAATCACCTAAGCCCAAGAGCTAGAGGTTGCTGTGAGCTGTGATGCCACAGCATTCTACCGAGGGCAACAAAGTGAGACTCTGTCTCTAAAAAAAAAAAAAAAAAACTAGCCAGGCATTGTGGTGGGTGCCTGTAGTCCCAGGCACCCTACTCACTGAGCCATAGGCACCACCCTATTTTTCTGTTGTTGTTGTAGTAGTTGTCGTTGTTTTAGCTGGCCTGGGCCAGGGTTGAACCCACCAACCTGGGTGTATGTGGCCAGTGCCCTACCCACTGAGCTATCCACCTATTGTCTCATTTTCTTTTTTTATTGTTGTTAGGCTCAGGCTCAAACCCACCTGCTCTGGTGTATGTGGCTGGCACCTTAGCCACTTGAGCTATAGGCACCGAGCCTGTTTCATTTTCTAAAAATATGTGGGTGCCTAACCTATAGAATCTTTTTTAGAGTTTAAAACACTACCCACTGGAACTAGTCCTCAAGATGTTCTTGGCTTCATATATCTGTTAATCTCTGTCTTGTAGTCTTGTTGGTTTATCAGAAATCTTCAAAAATTCATCTCAACTATTCGGTTATAGGAACCCCTGATGCTACCAAAACCTGGGATCTATTACCTCCCCTGGGAGGTCAGTGCCGGCCACATTCCTGATGGGAGCACGCTGAGAACATTTGGCAGGTGAGAACGGCTGTCTTTTTCGAGTCGTGGGGTGATCTTTAAATATCATTCCCAACCAAAAAAAAAAAAAAAATTAAAATAATTATATCACTTTGAGTAATTGTTAGAAAATACTTAAGAATTGTCTATTCATTGGAGAAAACATAGACAATTGATAAAGTTTAAAGAAAGAAAGCAAAAAACACCTGTAATCCCATTGCCCAGTCAAGGCCTGCTAACCTTTGGTGATTTATACACTTATCCCGTTTATACACTTATCCACATTTATCCATTTGTGATAACAATGGATAACATTTGTGATCACATTATCCATATATGATGTATGTGAGTGGGTGTGTATACATCCAATATACCCTGTACTTTGCTGTGTATAACACACACTCTTGCCCCCATTTTTTTTTTGAGATGGAGTCTCACTCTGTTGCCCTGGTAGAGTGCCAGGGCATCATAGCTCACAGTGACCTCAAACTCTTGGGTTCCAGTGATCCTTCTGCTTTATCCTTCTGAGTAGCTGGGACTATAGGCGCCTACCACAACATCTGGCTAGTTTTTCTATTTTTAGTAGAGATGGGGGTCTCACTCTTGCTCAGGCTGGTCTCAAACTCTCAAACAATCCATCTACCTCAGACCCCCAGAATGCTAAGATTATAGGTGTGAGCCACTGCACCCAGACTTCTATGGATATTCAAGAAAGACATCAGAGTAATTTGGTAGAGAAAGCATAGTCACTGGGGCTATGAGATATTCTTACGGGGGCAAAAACATCTTTATCTCCACCTCAAAAGGAATAACAATTGGCACTGTGTCATAGACTTACAAGCGAAAGCTGTAAAATGTCTAGAAATAAACAGAATATCTTCACGTCTTTCAGATAGGCAAAGATCTCTTAGATAAGACACAGAAAGCAAAAATCATACAAAGAAAAAAATTAGACATCAACATTAAAAGCTGTGCTTATCAAAAGGTATCATTATGAAAATTTAAGACGAGGGGAGGAAAATTAAAAGGAAATTCAGTCTACAGTGTGCCCTGAAATTTTTTTTCTGATTTGTTGTTGCCATTTTTATTTCTCTGGTGATATTGAAGCTGAACATGGGCTTATTGCCCTCCCCAAACCTTTCGGGCTTCATGGTGGCCTCTTTGTGGATAGTCATTATTGCCCTTCCTCTGCCTTCCAGGTTGTGCCTCTACGATGTGACCCAGTCCAGAATGAAGCTGATGGCCCAGCACGGATCTGATCAGCACCAGCTTCTGGTCTGTACCAAGCTGGTGGAGCCGTTCCAAGCGCAGGAGGGCTCCCTGTACATCGTCCTGGGGGAGCTGGAGCACCAGGAGGGTAAGCTGTGGCCTCACACCCCTTTTTTGTTCTGGGTCCCAGGGTGGGGCAGTGTTTTGGGGGATCCAGTTAGGGATGGGTCTGGCTTGTGACCCGATGGGATATCTCACAGGGCTTAACATTTTCTTCTAAGTCAGCCCACCAGTTCAAGGAATCTTAGGAAACAGACATGATTCGAAACAGAGAGAGGCAATGAAGAGATGGTCCCCACGGGGAAGAGAGAAAGAACAGAGAGAAATCACTCATTCCTTGAGGTCTACAATGTGCTGGCCCTGGTGTGAGGAGGGTTGCTTGGATCTTTGTGGATTGGCTCATCAGTCTTTATTTATTTAGACAGAGTCTCAAGCTGTCGTCCTGGGTAGAGTGCTGTAGCGTCATAGCTCGCAGCAACCTCAAACTCTTGGTAAGAGAGTCTTCTGCCTCAGCTTCCCAGGTAGCTGGGACTACAGGTCTCTGCTACAACACCGGGCTACTTTTTGATTGTAGTTGTCATTGTTGTTTGGTGGTCCGGGCTGGATTCGAACCTGCCAGCTCAGGTGTATGTGGTTGGCACCCTAGCCACTTGAGCTATAGGCGCTGAGCCGGCTCGTCAGTCTTTAATCTGAGAATTTTTCTTTTTGAGATAGACTCTCACTTTGTCACCCTTGGTAGGGTGCTATGGTGTCACAGCTCACAGCAACCTCAAACTCTTGGGCTTAAGCGATTCTCTTGCCTCTGCCTCCTGAGTAGCTGGGACTACGGGTGCCT